AGGGCAAGTCTTCCGCAACCAGATGGGGCCAGAAGGCCAGAATCAGGCAAAGAACCATGATCAAAGAGCTGCTGGAAAGAGAGGAGAGGAGGTTACAAGACGAGAAGGATGACAAGGACATTGAAGATTTGCTGGAAGACTAGAGCAAACCGCTGCATGGCATCGGCCTGAGCCTTTCTGGAACTCGCCTATCAACCAGTCCTCCAGCCAAAGGAGCCTACCTGCAGTAAACCTACTCCACTAGAAATTAATGCAACTTGATGCGCAACATCCGGAAAGATGACCCGGGCGACAGTTACATTGACACAGGCAGTGATAATCCTTCTCTCCACACCAGACCACCTGAGGTAGCTGGCTCGAGAGCGTTCCATCGCAGTAGCGATCGGACCATGAAGATGCACATCGCCAAATAAAATCAATAAACGCTTTCAACCTGCAGAAGATACTTGCCTCAATTTAACGCTTGAGCGAACTCACCTCCTGCATCAAAGACTTCCTAGTCTCTGCCAATTTGCAAGCAGGTGCTAACACATCAAGCCAATATGGACCTCAGCTTGGGCGGATTTGGACAAGACAAATGTTCCACGCAATCTGTTCAGCGCCATGCCACCATCTGTGTATGTCTGCATGTCTGCATGATGGTGGGGTCGCAGGGTTGTTTCTATGATCAATCATACAGCAACGGAGGGGCTAACAGCAAGAGTCAATGACAAGAAATCGACATTAGGCAATAATGAACAGAACACTTTCTACAATAACGAGAATAATGACTGATGTGAAATGATGGAAAGTGACAATTGTCCCCTGAATACTCTTTATTGATTCTCAATGACATGATAACGCCAGCCCAGACTCGAAAATGAGCAGGGTGCTGCTACTGTTGGTACCAGACCAATTCCAGTACCACTCAGTTGGCAGTGCAGTGCTGCCTCGACAGTGCATATGTAGCGAGTAGAGCAAGATTTTAGGCCTGAGTCGACATGACGGTGGTGGCAACAGCAGCAACCTAGGCAGACAACCAGGCTGCTTGGACGGCCTTGTCTTGCCTATTCGGGTTGTGTGGTTGCGTAGTCCGTGTTGCTTTCGCAGCTCCCTGGACACCAACCCTTTTGCTTATATCATGTGAAGAACAAGAGCCCCATTTTCGCCAAGATTCCCTCAGCTTCTCAGAAGGCACTAGAGAAGAGGCGGCAAGTCGTCGCACACGGAAGAAAGGGCAGCCATGTCCCTGGAGGCTACAGGTGGCACTGCTATACAGCTATGTATGTAGGTGCTTTGAAACAATTGAAGTATCCAATGAACGGCCAGCCAAGGCACTGCCTAGCTGCAAAGGGTTCCATTGCGTTAATCCGCAGTGTTTGTACCTGGGACGTTGGGTGGGCGGGGAACTTGCAGCGTATCGAAGTCGGGCGTCAACCAGGGAACGATGTCATCCTTCACGGAGATCCACCATCATGCCCACCCAGCTCCAACACCTGTTTTAAGGTCGCCGCGCCAATCCCAGGCCCTCTCCCCTCTGCAGCATTCAATCAGTACAATTTGCTTTCCGTCAAAACATTCGGCTGCGCATTGCTCTTGGTGCTTGCTGCTCTTGTTTCCTTTGTTGCTGCCGTACTCTGTTTCCTGCATACCGCGCCCGGTAGCTTGCCAGCCTTACCAGGGCAGGGATTGCCGCCCGCTGCCTTCTCCCACCACCTGCGAATTATTAGGCTGCGTCATTCCCACCCGCGCACACTCTGGGTCAACCTCGAGGAAAGCCCTTTCACCACATCCACCAAATATCCGGCCGCCTCCGCCTCTACGCGGTGCCTTAGCTGCCTCGAAGATCCATTTCTTCGTCCAGACTTGGAAATTTGGTCTTTAATCCTTCGTATCATGGTTTACCTGACTTCAAACCCAGCTGAAGAAGGTGCATGATGAACGAACACCACGACATTGGGTCTATGATGCAGGCGGGCTACTTCGTGTCTTCACGATCCAAGCACACCCATTCGTAAGGCTTCTATTCCCCAACTTTGGCTATTCAAATGCAATGGAATTCTAACCAAGACGCTAGTCCATCTCGATCGTTGACCCCTCCATTATCGCCAAGGCTGGCACGTTCCCCTCAACGTTCCCCCCAACGTTCCCCCCAGCGCGACTACCGACGTACAGAGTTACCAGCGTACAGAACGTCACATGTCCGACCGCCAGCACCCTCCGTTGAGGATGAGATAGATTCGCTAGCCCGCGAATATGGCTCCGTGAGTCTTTCCTCAAACCCTGAGGAAGAACCACCATCTCGAGGCGATGTGGAACAATACCCCGTAATACTCGAAGTCCACGAGCACAACCCGGAACGGCGTTTCGTCATCGTTCCCAACTCTAGCTCCGTATCTGATTCTAAGAAGTCAGAGGGAGACGGTTCAGACCACGAGCGACAAGGAAAGGATAGCTCGGGCGAATGGTCTTGTGATGAGGCAAGCTCCACACATAAGCATGGCCCTGAACGCAGCGAAAGACGTCGAGAGAAAAATGAAAGTATCGACACCGGAAGGCGAGCTAGATCGAGGCCACGCGTGCCAGATTCAGATTCCCGGCAAAGACGAGATCCTGAAACAACTCGAACACCTCCAACCGCCAGGCAGGAGAGATTCGATCCCCGGGTGTTAGATTCAGAACCTAGGCAAAGACGAGATCCGGAAACAGTTCGAACGTCTCCTCCTACCAAACAGGAGAGATTCGATCCCCGCGATCGCCAAGAGAAACCACCTCCGGTGGACAGCACCAGAAATGGTCAAAGAGGACGAGACTTTGCCGATTCTGGCCTTGGAATCTCGACATCCAGTCCCAACAAGACAAGGCCTAGACGAAATTCAAGTGTAATAGATGATCGCCGCCGCGAAAGAAGGGGGCGAAGAGACAGCATCAGCCCTCCAAGAGGCAGCCGCCCGATCTTGCATATTGACCCAAGAAGCTCGGACAGCCGCTTGTCAAATGAACCCGATGGCCCTCGTTATAGAGGCGAGCCTCAATCAGCCCGCTTCCCGCCGTCTGCGTACAAACGAAGCGACATGGAGTCGAGGTCTGCAGATCCCCCCAGACGGAGGGATGACAGCAGCCGGGTCGAAGGAGAACCCAAACCTAAGCCTAAGGAAAGCACAGCGCGTGGAGATGACACTCGATCTAGCGACGAACATGGAGTTCCAACATCCCGGCGCCATCGACGAGATTCCTCCTCAGTACCACCTCAAGATATAGAATCGACGCTTGGTCCCGAACAGCCACCCAGGGACTGGGATCGATCTCGCTCTCGCGGACCTCCAGTACCTCCGCATATTGTTCCGATTTCTCCAGAGATCCTCACGAATTTCGCCCCCAAGCCTTCATCTACGTTCCCCATCACAAAAGAAGAGCGGGCCCTACCATACCCAGATGATGACGATACGATGATGAATCCCCAGATCCCTCAAAGCGCCATAGAGCCAAGAGCGCATGTCATTCCGCCAATATCTATGCCAGAATTCCCACCTGTGGTGTCAATGCCCGAAGAACCAAGCTTTGAAAAGCCAAGTCTCGATAAGCCAAAAGCAGTCTCACCAGCAAATCCATCTGCATCGTGGCAGGTACCTGCGTTTGACCCGGAACGAGACCGCCATCCAGCTGAATCAGATATGGGGTCGTACCGGCGATATTCTGAAGGTCGGACGGGTGATAAGGTTCCCTCACTTCTCCCAGAATGTCCCCGCAAGAAACCTAAAGCAGGGAAAACGGACTGGCTTACTCTGCCTCGTTCCAACTTCAATTGCTGTCCGAGCTGTTACGAAGGCGTCTTTGCCAATACGGAGTGTCGAACACTTTTCCAGCCAATGCTTCGCCCCACGGATAAAGCGATTTCTTGTGACTTTGGCGCAAGCCCATGGTATCGAATCGCCTGGCTTCTCACGCTGAAATATGGTTGGCCAGACTTGCAACTTTTCCACGAGATTGACGACGTGGCAGTCTCTCGCAGCCAAGCCTGTCCCGGAGATCGAAAAGCTTTACGAAACTGGCTCACAATCAGAGACCCAAAGAAGAGGCGATTGCTGTCGAACTTCACGGTCTGCTACCAATGTGCTAAGACTGTAGAAGTACTTCTTCCGAATCTCAGCAATGTTTTCGTGCCAGTGGACTCGCGGTCGGAGCCTTCCTATGGAGTTTGTGCTCTCCGCTACACACCTCGGCGGAAACGGTTCGCACATTACTTCGATACCTTCGAGACAACGTCGGATAAGGCACTTAAAGCTAAAACAACTCCTGATCTCTCGTCGCTTGCATCAAAGATTGAGCGGCTATCCATGGTGGAAGAGTGTCGAGAGGACAGCCCAGTCCCCAATGCGTATTGGCATTTTATGCAATTCTTACCACAATTCACAGTCTGTTTGGAGTGTTTCGATGAGGTAGTCCGGCCACAACTCAGCGATGACAACATTATTGCTAGGAATTTTTATCGAGAGCCGGAAAAACTGGAGGTGGCTACATGCCAATTATACTCGGAAAGGATGAGAGAGGTTTTCCGGAAAGCCTGTCGACGAAATGATCCCAAATACTTGGAGGCAAAGGTGCTTGAAAGACAGGAAGTGGAAGCAGATATTCACGGCCAGCTCATGGAACTAGATCGGTCAGGCCACTATGATGATTATGTACAGGAAAAGGTAGACCGGTTAATTCGGGAATGGAGCAAGTGGGAATAGGTTAAAACAGAATTGGCTTATCATGGATTGTTATACCCCATCATTTGCTTTCATATCCCTAGAACGGTCGTTTTTTAGCACAGAAATAAGATAATATTCATGTTCCTACCAGCATAATAATCTCTAAGACGCTACCTAAGGTATGATGCTTCAAGTGGCCCCCACACCCCTTTAATAAAAAGTGGAGTTTTGCTCCAGCTGCCAACCCACGTCATACCTAACCACTTTCGAGTTTTGAAAGACGGCTTTCGCTCTCATCCATTCAAACCTGCACACCGTAGAGTCACAATGCAGCAGCTTCCGGACGACCTCGTCGATCTATTCCATCTATATTGCCCTGTGGATCTGATTGAGAAATGGGCAAGTTGGACGAACGAGTGGGCGCGGTCGGGACTTCAAGATCCCGATGACCCTAAAGAGAGCGATGCCACGGATAAGGCTCACAACCCCCAAGATTCTGACGATCCTGAGGGGGGAAATTCCACAGATGTGACTCACAGCCCTGAAAATCCTGGCGATTCTGAAGGAAGCAATGTCACGGATAAGGCTCATAACCCTCAAAATCCTGGCGGTCCCAGCGAAAGCAATGCCACAGATGCGGCTCACAGCCCTGAAAATTCTGATGATCCTGATGAGAGCAATGTCACGAATGCGGCTCGTAGTCCTGACAATCCTGGCGATTCTGAAGGAAGCAATGTCACAGATAAGGCTCACGACCCTCAAGATCCTGACGAAAGCAATGTCACGGACGCGGTTGGAAACCCTCAAGGCTCCCAAACCTCTGAAACGCCTACTTCCTCAAAATACCCTTGGCCACCTGTCACCTCCGCACAAATACTTATCTGGCTTGCGATCCTAATTAATATGGGGATTTCCCCAAAGAGATCACTTGCAGAACATTGGAAGACCTCACAAGTTGGGGACATTCAACCAACCGACCCCTTCATCAAGTACATGACCTTTACACGGTTCAGGGAAATTCTCAAATATCTGCGTATCTTTCCCCCTTTTGAGAAGATTGAGGATGATAGAGAACGAATGACATTTCGGGTTCGTGAATGGTCTGACCACATAAGAACTACCTCAACATCCCTCTTCGCCGGCAGCGAGCTCCAAGACGATACTGAACGTAAGAAACCTGAGAGAATTACAAAGAATCGCCGTAAAAACAATCGCCTATACCAGCAATTCTCTCGTGATAACGACCACAACGACCACCTGGGCGGCGTCGATATTCGTGACCATCTCAGGAAAGACATCGGCTATAACCATCGCATCCGTCGGGGCACCTGGCAGGCCGTAACCTAGAGCTTCCTCCTTGACACGGTGCTTGTTAACACGTATATTCTACAGCGTGAATCGAAATTTCCTTATGGGCGGAACCGCGATCAAGTAGAGTGGCAGCGTATGCTTGCGGGCGGCCTGATCCGTAAGTATGCCAAAGCCGCGGCTTCACGTAAGATGTTGTGGCCTGGCGATGAATTCTCGCCTATATCGCAGCATGACCATGTCAAGCTTGAGAAAAAAGGTCGGTGCCGGGCTTGTAGAGGGGACAGATTAGGGGATGTTGTTACGGGAAGGTCAAAAAGGGCGCCTTTGGCAAAATCGGTCAGGCAGAGCAAGTACGGCTGTAGCGAGTGTAACATTAACCTATGTACCGGTACAAATTGCTGGTGGATATGGCACCAGCCAATTGCTCATAGAAATTGATGTGTCTTTCATCATCGTTTCAACGGAGTTGGAGGAGCATTCGCAGTGTCTATGTGATCGGGTTTCAACCAAGCCTGCTCACTACCTTTTCCCAGTCTAGTCTACTGGAATGGTATTATTGGTTGTGCAAGATCTTGCCTTCGAGGGTCACAACTAATCACTAACACTTGGTTGGCTAGAGAGAGAACTCACTTAAGACATCCAGACACTTATGTACACATTGAAATCAACAAACAAAAGGCTAATGCTCTTCGTTTCAAGGTAGACCCGTGGCAAGTATTGGTTGATCAAGGGCTAATTCTAAAAAAAAATAAGGTGACACCTTCCATACCATTAATTCTTTTATTCATAACATCATTTTATTCAGGTCGTTGTAGATAGTCTCTGCTCATGATTCTTATCAATTTAATGTCACTTTCCTCCTAAGCGATAGAAGATACCGCTGCTCTCCGACTGAAGGCACCCCTGTCACAACTGTGGGCGCTGGGTGATGAGGGGCAGTCACGTGCACTAACCCACAAAGTGCCATTCCTGGTACGTACCGCAGAGGTTAGGGTCGGTCTCCGCCCACCAAAAAGTGCTGCAAAAATTCCCTGGTGAAATTTATCGTGCGCCCCATTGCCAAAATTCATCCTCCCTCAACAACCAACTTCGACGCCGCCCAACGACCGAGGTAGGACTTCATGCCATTGTGCCTCAACTTTGATAACTCGAGCAAGATATACTAACAGAGTGTTCCCTTCCAGGTCCAAGTCCCACATTCACAATGGCTTCGCGACCTACCGTCTCGATCATCGGCAAAGATGGTACTCCCACGGGAGCTACCCACCCCATTCCTGCTGTCTTCTCCAGCCCTATCCGACCGGATATCGTCCAGCAGGTTCACACTGGTATCGCCAAGAACAAGCGCCAGCCATACTCCGTGAGCGAGAAGGCCGGTCACCAGACCTCTGCCGAGTCCTGGGGAACTGGTTAGTGCTTCTTTTTTTCTTCATCGACGGGGGAGGTTTTATGACCTGGGTTTTTTTGTGGTTGATTGGCACCAGCAATGGTGTCTATTCAATTCAGATGAAAACAGCTGGGCTCGATTTGCTTGGAAACAACGACTTTTATATCATGAACAATATCTAACAGCCTCTTTTATAGGACGTGCTGTTGCCCGTATCCCCCGTGTCTCTGGTGGTGGTACCCACCGTGCTGGTCAGGCCGCCTTCGGTAACATGTGCCGTTCTGGTCGCATGTTCGCCCCTACCAAGATCTGGCGCAAGTGGCACGTCAAGGTCAACCAGGGCCAGAAGTGAGTGGAAACCCAGACAGCCATTGGAACGAGTGGGGAAATTTTGAAGAAGAAGAAGAAAACTGACTGATTTACGTATAAAGGCGTTACGCTACCGTCTCTGCCCTGGCTGCCTCCGCCGCCGCTCCTCTTCTGCTCGCCCGCGGTCACCAGATCATGAGCATCCCTGAGGTTCCCCTCGTCGTCGACTCCGCCGTCTTCGAGGCCGGTGCTGGTGCCAAGACCGCCAGCTCCCTGGCTGTCCTCAAGGCCGTCGGTGCCGGACCTGACCTGGACAAGGTCAAGGCCTCCAAGAAGCTCCGCGCCGGTAAGGGTAAGCTCCGTGGCCGCCGCCACCGCCAGCGCCGCGGCCCTCTCGTCGTCTACGACGCCGCCGTCGACGGCAAGGAGCTCATCAAGGGCTTCCGCAACATCCCCGGTGTCGAGACCAGCCCCGTCTCCGCCCTCAACCTCCTCCAGCTCGCCCCCGGTGGTCACCTCGGCCGCTTCGTCATCTGGACCTCCGCCGCCTTCAAGGCTCTGGACGAGATCTACGGCTCCACCACCGAGCCCTCCGCCCACAAGCGCGACTTCCTCCTCCCCTCCAACGTCGTCTCCCAGGCTGATCTCACCCGTCTCATCAACAGCTCTGAAATCCAGAGCTCCCTCAACGCCCCCAAGGGTGAGGCCGTCACTCGCCGCTCTGCTGTCCAGAAGAAGAACCCTCTGCGCAACAAGCAGGTCATGCTGCGCCTGAACCCCTACGCTTCTGTCTTCGCCAAGGACGCTCAGAAGAAGCAGGAGTAAAAAAAAATTTCGACTTACTGGCTGGGTGTGCAGAAGTAGGTTTCGGCGGCACTCTTTGAAGTGTTTGGACGGATTTGTTTGGTTTGGTATTGAGGCGCAATGGCTTCTGGAGGATTTAAAACTCATAAATGAATCAGAAGATTTCAATCATAACCGATTTGTCCAATGAAATCCACGGTGCATTCCATGACACAATATTCGTAGCAAGCATAGAATGCTGTGTTGACTAGTCTACTCTATCACACCCAAGTAATGATCCCACCCAGTTTATGATATCCAAGTGAAACAAACAAGTGATGTCGTTGCTTCATAAAAAGACAAGCCTAGCACCCAGCCATAAGACCGAGGTTACCCATGCCTTGCTCAAGCTGCTCTACACTCTCGGTGTCCAGCTTCGCAACCAGCTTCTTGATCTCCGCCACGCTCTTAATTCTCCAGAATTTCTGGATACCAGTTACGTATCTTGTTGCACACGGCCCAACAACGTCCTCATCCTCGGCCGCAAAACATAAGCGTGAGTACTTCCAAGTTCTCTCCTGTTGAATCTCGGCAGTGGCGCCAAACATGGCACCAGGGGCGGCAAGGACGAGATACGGCTTCTGAGATAAGAATACCATGAGAGCCTTGGCCAACAATTGGCCATCGACCAACAATCCGGCCTCTTTTCCTATCGCTTCTCCACGTGCCTGCCACAGCGGATGGTTCTCGAAATGGATACGAACCCAGATAAACATACCGCCCTTTGGCCAGTTAAAGGATAACAGGCGAGTCTTGGTGATCACACCCCAATCGGTATCAGAATCACGAACTGGGGTGGATTGCTTGAGCTCAAAGGAGTGCTCATCAAGGATGGTTGACATCTGGGCCATGCGACCCTCATAAACACCGCGGAGGCCAGCGAGCCATCGGACCCAGCCATCCATATTCCAGCCCTCGAACGAGGCCTTGTCTTTGGATGAGAGTGCGTGAAAGCGTCTAGTTGTCGCTTCGGGCTGCTGGCCCATGATGGCTTCAGCTACCAGCGACTGAACAAAGCCAGAGGGTTGCTGTGTGCTTGTTTCTGTGATTCTACAACTCGTTAGAAGACCAGGTATAGTCTCGGGAGATTTGATAGGGTGAGGGTCTACATACCGAAGGAAACGCTCAATAAAGGCAGGTTGAGCAGTGATCCAACCAAGACGGCAGCCTGGAGCGATGGTCTTGGAAAATGTATCGACACGAATAACACGGCCCTCGGTATCCAGATTAAGGGAAGAAGGGACCAGCGAGTCCAGGAATTCGTATCCGGTAGACTTTGATAGGCCGTGGGCTTTCTCTTGCGACGGTGCCCGGCCGTCTCTATCCACGCGATATTGGAGATTCCAATATGGCTCATCCTCGATGAGAATAATATCATACTGGCAGCATAGAGCGTAAATGGCCTTTCGTCTTTCGATTGATTGAAGTCCACCGGTTGGGTTGTGACCCGTTCTGTAATGAGACGGTGAATATGGACTCAGCAGCATCCGCATGAGGGAAGTAGGACTCACGTTACAGAGTAGATGAAATGAGGCAGTCGACCTTTGCTGTAATCCCAGTTCTCAAGGACATCCTTCAAACCACCCGGGCCGTCAACACTCATGCCTTCAGAATCTACCTCCACGGGGACGACCTGCACTCCCCTTGGTAGCGCCGTATTGGGGGCATTCATGTACACATATGTTTCACACAACATGCCCGGGCGATCCTCCACGGGGTCTCGGCCAGCAACCCACGGCTCGACGATCAACTCCACGGCCTTTGAGAAACCATCGGTGGCGCCAGTGGTGAGGATGACCTCCGGCCCGTCGAGGTAGGGCACATTTGGATGCAGGTGGTTACGTGTGAACTGGCGAACAAATGAGAGCAGCGGCGGGTAGCCACCTGCAGTGCCATACTGCAGTGCTGTCGCCAGATCAATTTTCTTTGAAAGGTCGACCTGATCATCCTTGGCAGGGATTACGAAATGGGATGCGGCATGCTTTGGCGCCGCGGCCGAGCCATTCTTGTTCACTTCGACAGGCCATCTATTAGGCAGCGCTACCTGGGCCTCGAGAGTGTCATAGGGAAAGAGCCCAGGGTTAGGCAAGCCTGTAGTGTATTGGGTCAGAGGAAATCAGTTCAATGGGTGTGGGAATAATTAACTAGGTACCTCCAGCAAGATTCCCAACACCAGGGATCTGGAAGAATTTGTAGAGCTGCTTGACAGCGCTCGCGCCTCGGTTCTTGGTCGACTGGGAAAAGTGGTGACTGAGGTCGCGTGGAGGAGAGAGACCAACGGCCTGGGAGATTGCCGGTGGCGGCGCCATATTGATAGGCAGGTACAGCGCAGCGCAGCCCTAAACTCTTATTGGTGGCGTCGGCTCTGGAATTCTAACGGTATTGTATAAAACGCTGCGGCTTGGACGGGTGACCATTCAGCAACGGATTAACGAGATTGCTAGAGAGAAACACACAAGACCGGACACTAGACAAGCAACAATATTATCTCTATGGAGGGATAGGCAGTCGGAGATCTGGCGTGGGAGGGCAGATAGGGACCCCGAGCCGGTCTAGGCGGACCAGGGTCCAGATGTGCAACGGTGCCTGCCAATGCCGTCTCGCCAACTGTGAGTCTGTTCCTGACAAATCCAAATCGGAGCCTCCCAGATACGGGCAAATGCGGTGAGGGGCTATCTACTCATTCTGGTTCAGATGGCGTAATGACTTCGGACTTGCGGACTTGGAGCCATTCGCGCCCTACGAAGTGGACCAGCTCCCCAGATCGCCAAGGCTTTAGATCTTACTAACCCACCCTAGACCAGCCTGTGTTCCATGGCGATGTTGGACTCTGCTACAAGCAAGCGAAAACCTGCTAGCAGCGATAAAATACCATTGTCTAGGGTAGTAGCATGCATTCCCTGTCAGAATGTGAAGCTAGGATTCTATTTGCCTTGGCTGCCGGCATAGGGTGGCTTCTTGCTTCTAATCAATGGTTGAGCCTCAGATATAGGTAATGTGACACAAAATCATTCGCATTGTCCCAACTCATCAATTGTTATCCACATATGTATCATTTTGTTCGATAAACATAGTAGACAGCGACAAAAACATGCCCGACCCAGTCGTGACGAAGAATTACTGTTGTGTAGCAACTCCGCTCTCAGCCCGCGAGGGATCAAGCATCAAATGAGCTCGATGTCAAGCATCTCAACTCTCAACAGGCTTATCTCTGTCTTCTTATTTAGTTTTCTATACGGGAGAAACATTTTCAATAACACATCCCAATTGGTGGATGTGGATCTGCGGGTTGTATTCCAACTAATGCCTGGACAAAATCGCGAATTTGGGCTACCAGCTATCGCAGAAGCCTGGAACGCACCATAGTTCCCCAGTCCAAGTAACAAGTATAGGTGTTCTTCCAGTCACAAACAACTACTAGATAGGCAAAGTAAGCTTGGGCGCCTAACGCATTCGACTCTGAAGAATGGGGAAAAGCTAGGATTAGTTGAAGGTGAAATACGATTTTTGTTTATTTAGAAGATATAATAGCTATTTTCTTAGCCAAAATAATAGCCATGCCCTGCGATACAATAATGGTAACTTGATGTGAGATAGTGCCTACAGATAATGAGCTTGAGCGTAATGTGATCAGCGGCTGATGGAACTTAGGGCCAATTAAACTCTTTCACCGGGTCACAGCTGTCTTCCACACCGAGGCCCACCGAAGGTGTGAAGCTAGCAGGCGGCAGCTAAACTCCACTTTCCTTTGTGCTTCCCACCAACATGAACTGCTCATTTAAAGTGCCTGAACTGATTGAGCACTTCGACGCGTAAATCGCAAGATGCGATATTCAGCCTTCGGAGTACACCGCGCTTGAGGCTTCTTACTTCTCTTCTGCGGATTGCGCTCCGTCGTAATCTATCGAGCAAGGGTTCTGGTGAGGTCACGACCTATGTCAGCTATCCGTTGATAGTACGCGACGGTCCGTCAACATGGAGAACGGCGGTCTCGAGCCCGATCTTTCGGAGGCGATCATCCCTACGCCCATCGCGCAGCTCCAGCCAGGCCTTTCAGATACCGCATCACATGTTGTCGATGGTGAAGTGACTATCACATGGCCATTCAGCATTGTCACCAAATCCGTTGCGTTCAAGCTCGCCGAACACGATTTCCTGCTGCGACGCAACAAAGGCCAGGTACGAGTGGAATTCCATGGCGCCGCGGGAAAGGCAGTCGCCGCGACTGGAATTGGAGGTGGTGATAAGGTTCGGCTCAGTTTGGCCGGGGTTGAATGGACCGAGGGAGCACCTGCATCGACGCGACCAGACACGCTCCAATGGCAGATGAACTTCTCGAGTAGGCTGCGCATGCGGGTTCGCAGGGCAGACAGCCAGGAAGAAGAAATTATCAACGTCGATTCCTCCGACAGCATCGAAAACGATTCACCATTGACTGAACTCACAGCGCCGTCAGTTTCTGAACTCGAACCCTCGATCCCAATACCAAACGATACGCCCCTAAAGCCGGCGATTTATCCACGAGCCGGGCTTGAAGCCCCCTTGACCGGAAAGCGTCAAGTTTCGGAAGCTTTCGATACAGACGAATATGCATCTCCTGCTTACTTGAAACGTGCTAGAATATCATATGGATCACTGTTCGAGGGTGGTTTGGATATATTTGACGAGCACGATGATGATGTACCGAGCAAGAAGAGGGATAAAAAGCGGCCGCGCTTCAGCATGAATGCCAATTGGAAATACACCAGTCGTACCCCTAGCCCCGAGCCTGAACATTCGCCCGAGGTCGAACCTGAACCACTGGCAGGAAACAAGGATGCCCATGAGGTTCTAATGGAAACGCCATCGCGGCTCCCAGTGGCAGGCAAGGAAGGACAAGATGGGAGTTCAAAAGCTTCAGCCTCGCCTGTTCCGTCAAAAGCTACTGAAACAAAGGTTCTATCGCCTCAAAGAGCTTCGACACCTAATTCACCTTGCCCACCAAGCATACCAAGAACGGAACCCGAGGAGGAGCCACAAAATTACACTGAGCAAAACTTGAAATCCTCTGGGGATACAGATCCTTCCCTTCAATTGGCAGAAGTGGATGCTCAAAGCGAGCTAGAAAAGACCAGCGCAGAACCTGACAGCCTCCCTCATAACGATGCGCCAAAGCCACACGATATTATGGATCAATTTCTACATGATGCAATTGACCCAGCTCTCACTGACGAGGCAGGAGAAGCCGCCGATCTAGTTCTGGAAAATGATGCTGGAAGGTTTTTGGAAGATCACGACCTACAGTTTGCCCCTATGCCCACATATGCGGAGAGCCAGCCACCAATGGGTAGTTTTTCTCATCTACCCAATGGCGAGCCGCATGTAAATCATTCATTCTCGGCCTTCCCAACACAGTCCAATGACTGGCTACCTATGTCTTCAGCGCCTGTTTATCCACCGATACCAGCATCGAATAGCTTCAACAACCCTGTGGAAATCATCGACAGCTCTTCGGATGAAGAACAATCTTCAGATGAAGGGGATGCCGAACGCGAGGATGATGAGGGTCAGTTGCGAGGAAGCTCTCTGAAAAGCGAGGGTGAAGACTCAGATCACAGCCACATGGAAGACAGTGAGCAAGAAGCCCTACAGCAAGGCAGGGAGGACTTTCAGATGGACGACAATGAGTCTGAAGAAGGTACAGATGTTGCTGGGGAGGACTATGATCTGAGAAATTATGACGATGCCCAAGATGATGATAGTGCCGGGAGTGAGAGTGAAGAGGAGGGCCTGCATAGGCCAAATGGAGCTGGACATCTCCTCAACATGGCAGATGAACAGAGCAGCCACTTCATCAATGAACATGGATCTCTGAATAATGGAGAGATTAGAAGTCCTGCCAGGGCTGCTGGGTTGGTACCTGTGGATGGGCAGGCTGATTCTGATTCCGAGTCTGAAGAGGAGGACGAAGATGACGAGGAACAGGAAGAAGAGGAGTACTATGAAAGAGAGGAAGGCAACGTTCATGGGTATGAGGAAGAAGAATATTATGAAGAGGGCGAGGAAGAGTATGAGGAGGAAGACGAAGAGGAATATGGGGAGGAGGCAGACAACTCAACACCACCGCCTCCACAAGAACCGGTATTTATCGACCTTATGTCAGACTCAGACGACGAAGATGAGCTCGATCAGCAAGAACCCCACAAAGAGGAGCCAGAGGCGAAGGGAAGTGCAGATGCACATGAACCAGATACATCTGCAATCTCCGCCCACCAAGAGGAAGCTCTGAGCGAAAACGAGGAATCACAAGACACGAATCTAGCATTTACGCAAGGCACTACCACTACAGAGGAAACGGCTTCAATTAACGTGGATGCATCCAAGCAACCAATTCCAGCCCACCCAGATCAGTCAAACCACAGCGCGACAGAACACAGTGTTGTTACCGTCCTAGAAACACTAGTCAGTTCGGGCAAACAATCACAATCACAATCGAATCCACTAGCGGCTACAGATCTAGAACCGCATGTCGATTCAATCACACATTATGAAGAGAGCCAGGAGACGGTCACAATCTCTAACGGGCAAACACAAACTCAAACAGTGGTCGGTCTGGGCGAGCAGAGTCCAGAAATCCAACGTGCTGAAATGGAGTCTCAAGTCACAGAGAGCCAAGAGATAGAAAGCAAAGGTATGAGAGCTGAAATCTCTTCCCCTTCCTTTGAGGATGCTACAAGTCAGGAGAAAGATGGGTCAACCCAAGAACAGCTTGACGTGGATATGGATGTTCCGCCAGCCGTAGAACAGGGAGGTCCTACATTTACCACTCATATGGAACAATCCTTCACCGCAGACACACCAGAACAGCCAGCCACAGGCGATTTACCACCCACAGAGCCAACTCAGGGGTCACCAGTCTCAGCCTCCAAACCGAGTGGGCTTTCGGCCACCGATGAAAACATGGGGGCGAGTATAGGCAAAGCATCATCCCCGATGACTGAACAGACATCACCCAAACTTGTAGAAAGTGTCTCTGCAGAAATCACTTCAAACATCGCCGTCGCGCCAACTGGCCAGGTTCCTACAGTGGAGCTACCTGCTGCTTTAACCCCTAATGCCGATGGAAAAGACCTGCCTAATGACAGCGCAGGCGAAGATACAGCGATGCAAGAGGCATCTCTCATAGTAGAGGAGACACATCAATTGGAGTCTCTCCAACAAACGGACCCTGTACAGGATGAGATTGAGGTCAAGGATGGTTTAGACTCGCTACCTCCAACCGAGATTTCTCAGCAGGCGCAAACAACAGATGAAGTGGCACAACCAGTTGCAGGTACGGTCGAGGTGGAGGAGGTAATATATGTGGAGAGAGCAGAGGAGGATATGGAGCCGCACGAATCGCCACCAAATGATGCTATGGATATTGACCAGGTCGATGATGAGCATGATCACGACGCAGAATATTCTTTTGCGGCTGAGCAGCAAATCATATCAGAGTCACAGGGGTATCAAGACAAACCCATGACCGATACTCTTCAGCCTGAGGCTGATACTGCCACGTCTGTTCCCAGTGAGCCCGTGGAGAAGAAGAAAGCTACGGCAAAGCCAGAGCAGGAAATGTTAATTACGGTGCAGTCTTTGCGCAGCCGCGGACATCGCAAGAGTTTGTCCTCTGACTCGACGAGCACGCACAACCAGGATCCCAGTATTTTGCTTGCAAAGGCCAACACGGGAGCGGCTGAACCCGAACCACGTCGAAAACATAAGACTCCCCCAGTCATTCATACAGGTCGGATCACCCGCAGCCAGGTGGAAGCTGGTGTGGGCCAAACGGCGGGGTCTCCACATACGCCAACGAGGAGCACGCGACTTGGTGCTACGCCAGAGACGCCCCACGGAAGTCAAGCGTCAGGGGCCACCCGGAAGGGTCGAAGCAAGTCGCCGGCCTCGACGTCGGAGCTGTTGAAGACGCCTTCGGTGGCCGGGTCCCCAGCAGCTGCCGCTGCCGCAGATGGCGAGCCAATCTCCGAATTGAAGCTACGTTTGTCGAGGGATCTTCGAACCAACTTGGGAGACTTTACCCCCCTCAAGTCGCTCCGAATGGCATCGAAGATGACGAACATCCTTGCCATTGCTACGAGGACCCCTCCGCAGCCATCACGGCCGAAGAACGGCCCGCGCGACTACATGGTTGAGCTGATACTTACAGATCCATCATGTGCACCGTCCACCGTCGTGGTTGCGCACTTCTTCCGCCCGCACCAGGCAGCCCTGCCGACGGTGCATGTGGGCGATGTGGTGCTCCTGCGTCAATTCCAGATTGTGTCGGTTAGAAAGCGCGGCTTTGGGATCCGAACCTCAGAGGAGTCGGCCTGGGCCGTCTTCGAGAAGGATGACGAGGAGCAGATCCCTCAGATCAAGGGCCCCCCTGTCGAGCCCTCCGACGCTGAGGTGTCATATGCGGAGGGTCTTAGACGCTGGTGGACACTCTTGGATGATAAGGTCAAGACCAAGATCGAGAAAGCTACGGAGAAGACGGTCCAGCTTGGGGCCCGTGACGAAAAATAATGACATGTAAAATAGCAGGATAGGTTTGGAGATGGTGGGATAAAAGAGGGGGTATGTGATAACACATACTCATCATACAGAATAAGGTCTTTTGAAATATTATACAGGTTATTATCATGTGCAAGGCAGCCACAACATCTCCTTTGACATGTGTGCTTATGTTAGGGTGGGCGGGATGGTCCCCACGATGGCATCTCACTACCATCTCCGAAAAGCATGGCAACGGAACATGCATAAAAACCCACCCTCTTTATTATCGCTCATTCCTGCCGCGTCACTTCTCTAGTTTAACTCTAGTACCTAGTATCGAGCGTGTGGAACCCGCAAGAGTCCGGGGCGGACATTCTCCGAGGGTTTTGTAAAAAACTAGATAATGAATCGGGGGTGTAGGCGATCGGACTTCCCGACTCTACCCACTCAACAACTGTTTGATTAGAACACGTCCCGATCCATGCACTTACATGAAAGCTGCCAGCCATTGAAATGCTGTGCGACACACAGAACAATCTCATGTTAGTTGGAAGTAGAAAATACTACGTAATTATTCCAAACATAGCGAACAAGATGTTGGGGAGTGACGTATCAGATTCCTCCCCCCTTGCTGCGTTCAGTTTTGTTGATGGCGTCCAACATATCCAGGTTAAACATTACCCCCGTCCAGGGTAGGACTTCCCAAAGACGGCCAAAACACCCAGGAAACTTTGTTGGTGCACGCTAGCGCCCAGAAGGATGAACCACGCCCGCCTCCGCAATTCGGAACCCTCTTGCTCACTACCTGAGGTTATTGGTTAGGTACCTGTAGTTTGCAAGTACGAAAATGAGTATTTAGGCGCCGCTGAGACAGATCGCGGTCCTCGACGCTATTGCAGTGGCCCCCTTGTCCCTGAGCGTACCCTGCTGGTGGGAGGGTGCTAATGTCATAGTGGTCATGTGATGCTAAATCAGGGTACAAGCTGGGTACAGACCAGAGTACAAATGGCGGAGGGATGCAAGAGACGGGGGAAAAACACATGCAAGCATACATAGAGACACGAGCGCACAGATAGGAGATCTCCGACATGCATGCAGACAGCAGGAATGACTGATTGATAACGCCCGCATGCAATTGAGAAAATTTTTTAAAGGTGATCATCTGAGAGAGAGACATGCTTGTGATCGCGTGCGAAAGAGCCAGGGAGCGGGACGTAGCGAATTGCGGGGAGTCTGGAAAACCTCAGACTGCTTCTTTTTTCCCAGAGATCGCGAGGCAGTGCGATTCGTGCCCTAGCGACCGCCCACCTCGTACTAATGCTTGTTCCCCATCATCTAGGACCCCTGGTCTCCCCATACAAACTATCCGCCAGGCCGCCCCATCACTCCCGTTGGCTGGTGGCGTTAGCCCTCGGGTGAAGTCGGAATGAGTTATAGGGCAATTTGCACCCCTTTCCCCCGTGGTGATGTGATTGCCCCTGTTTGTGGTCTTTTTTGGCAGCGGTTGGTTTCGAATCTGTTGTAATGCCATTCGAGGTGGTCAAGCTTAACTGCAGCCCTTGATCGAGCTGGTAGTCTTTCGTTTGACTCAAAAGTATGAAACCGTCGCATACCTACCACAGATGGTGGAGTATGCACGTCAGGCAGACCGATGAGCCGGCGATGGGTGCTACATAGCTGCAGGTAGATTCAAACCTTCCGAGCGAGTCAGGGGTGCTCATTGCATACTGGGGCCGTTACAGGTGGCAGGGGTCCAAGGGATCCGGTTCACTCGGCATACAAGACGTGTCGTGATTATTCATTACATCTCTAACACGAGACGACAACCTTACCATTGTCTGATTACGCTTTGGGCAAAAAGAAGTAGGAGGAGGAGGCCCAAGCCCGACGACCCAGCAATGGTAGGCCATCCTGTCCTTCCCATTGGACCGTCTGCCTTCCAGCCTCTCCCATGTCCTACGTCCTACCTGTACTGGAGGGTTGGGCGTAGTTAGTATAATTACAATCACCATCATTCATGCCCGCGATGACACAGATGTGTGCCAAATGGGCAATTAATCCGACCTGGGCACTTCAAGGCGGGATTGCCCCTTCTTGCTGAATTCGTGACCGATACTCCGGAAGTTGTCCGGACGCCGGTGGGGATGTGGAGCTGCGGCCGAAAAGAACGTCCGTTGAATCGGGAACAACCAGGAGCTGCCCAAGCCAATTCTCTGATCGGGACAGCTGAAGGCTCTAGTTGGCACACTATGCAGTGACCGCTATGGACTGGGCTGTGCGGGTCCAGCATGGGATAATCCAGAGGGCGATTCCGCTAACCTGCGTTGTCGTCACACAGGAGCAACCCGTCGGTGATGAGATGCTGCCCAACAAATTTTCTTTGTTGCCTTGTAATTCCAAAAGGCGGTGCGTGCGGGGGGGGGGCGGGAAGGGAGCGCCTTTCCGAAAGCTTTTAGCGGCATGTCAGCTGCAACATAATGCAGCAAAGGTCGGGACGGGCATGCAAGAGCGTCTTGTTTTGGGGTTTGGTGACGGCGGTCGATGATGTGGATGGATGGCAGTGCTCTGGGGACCCCAAACCCCTGGACCTGGAGGACCGTCCATGTCGCTTGCGGACCTGAAAGCTGGAAGTCAAAATTGCGCGCATCTGTCTCGTCATGTCATGCCATGTTGCTGGCGGTAGCTCTGTGTCAGGTCAGCACATGTTGACGCCGTGTTGGCCATCAGCTAGGTATCCAGTATCAGTTGCTGCTGCCAGTGCTTCCCTTGTGCTGGAATCGCAAGCCAGCGCTAGCAGGCAGGCTGTAGTTTATTTTGATTAGTCGGTGTCGGGTAGCCATGGCTTTTGCAAGCGCTGGGAATGGGCTCCCACTGCTCATCCAAAAGCCCTGAGGTACCTGGCTGGGTACCTCGCGGGTACCATGCACAGCGCTGTACCCCAGTGAAGGGGCCTCGTCTCCGGCACCGGGGCCGCTCCCCGTTTCGTCGCAACCCACTACGCTGTTAGTCACTCCACTTGGAGATCCAGATCCTCAGCCAAATTTCCATCAAGCCTCGTCCGCCTTCGTTTTTGCCTTTAATGAACTTCCCTTTTGTGCTGACAATTCCGCCTGTCCCTCATTCTTTATCCGATTTCTCCCTCCCGCCGCGTCTGCTTCGTAGGCGCTTCCCCTGGCTCATTCCACACACCCTTGTCCGTGCCGCTCATTTGTGGTAAGCTTGCCTTGCTGCTCACCACATGGGGCTGCAGAGTCGCCTGGGAGCTGGGCTCCTGATAAATCGTCTGTGTCTCCCCACTACCTCGCCGGCGACCGTCTTGTCAGGCCACCCAGTCGTCTCCTCGCTTCTTATTAATACCCATCGTCGCCGGTTGCGTCGTTGCTTGCACGGTTCCGTCCCTCCTGCATCTTCTTTCTCCTCCACTTCCATGGCTTCGACTGGCACAGCAGCATCAACACTAGCCCCAGCTGAGACCACCCAAAGCGCACCCTCCATCACTACCACCGCTGCCAGCATTGCCAGCAGCAGCACCTCCCACTCAGAGCCCATTCCCACACCTCGGTCCACGTCCCCCTCCTCTCCCATTGCCTCGGGTCCAAGACACAGCAATAAAACAACACCTGCAGCCTCGTCCGGCCGCAAATTGATCAACTTTAATCCCATGACGTCCAACGTTGACATTGCTGCCATTGAGGAAGGCATCAAGGCTGCATCTCTCGACCAGCTCCGCGGATACGCCCAGAACCATTACGCACAGGTCAGCCAAGACAAGGAGACCGAGTACATCTCAAGAACCATGGCTGCTGGATACCCTCTTCTCCGCCAGCCCTTCTGGAACAAGGGTAAGTGACTTGGTCCTTGGATTTCGCCACTGTCATTTTCCCCCACATCAATCGCCTTCTCCAGTTGATTCGAGATGTTCTGAGCTAATATGCATCCGATGCAGGTCTCTCCTTTACCCCAGAGGAGCGTGTTGCCAACAACCTGACCGGCCTTCTCCCCCACACGATTGAGAGTCTGCAGACGCAATGTGTGCGTGGTATGAAGATGATCAATTCTCGCCAGACCAACATCGACAAGTACCTATACCTGTCCAGCATCAAGGAGCAGAACATCGATCTGTTCTACCGATTGTTGATGGACAACGTTCGGGAGTTGATGCCACTGGTCTACACTCCGACCATCGGCGATGTCTGCCTCCAGTACTCCACCTTATATACCCGCCCCGAGGCTCTGTACATTTCCATCAAGCAGCGAAAGTCAATTCGCACAATGCTTGAGAACTGGCCCTGCCGGGATCCTGAAATCTGCGTCGTGACTGACGGTTCTCGTATCCTAGGTCTCGGTGACCTTGGAATGAACGGTGTTGGTATCTCGGTAAGTCAAGATATAGAGTTTCTTCCCCGAGAGTAGCTTGTTCTGACCCAAGCTGTGCTTGATAGATTGGCAAGCTTGCTCTTTACACAGCTGCCGCTGGTATCCACCCCGGCAAGACCCTGCCAATTGTCCTCGACTGTGGCACCAACAATGAAACCAATCTCAAAGATCCCCTGTATCTTGGTCTGCGACAGAAGCGAGTGTCCACCGAGGACCAGCGTAACTTCATGGACGAGTTCATGGCAGCTGTAAAGGAGGTTCACCCCAACATGGTTGTCCAGTTCGAGGACTTTGAGACCGAAAAGGCCTTCAAGTACCTTGACCGTTACAGACACACCCAGAGGTGCTTCAACGACGACATCCAGGGTACTGGTGCTGTCGTTCTTGCTGGGTAAGATTTTCCAATAGCAATACTCCCTTATCAGAAGATGAGCTAACTCGCATTCCCAGATACATTGGTGCCGTAGACCTTTCTGGCGTGCCCCTTGAGGAGCAGCGCCTTGTTTTCATGGGCGCTGGTTCGGCTGGTGTCGGTGTTGCCAAGCAGCTCATGGAGTATTATACCCGTAGGGGTCTCTCAGAGGCCGAGGCCAGAGACAAGTTCTGGCTCGTAGACACCAAGGGCCTTGTGACCAAGGACCGTGGTGACAACC